AGATGTTTCCTCGACTTCTCTCCGTACCTTTCGCCAAACCCCTTCCTCCTTTTCCTTATTCTAGACGGCTCCTTTCTTTGCTTCAACGACTTGCCCTTCAGTGCTGGTTGATTAGTATCATCATCAGTTGAGCTAGACGGTGGAAGACCTACAAGAAGTGACCAAAATCATGGTACAAATTGAATCGACATACATACCGATCCCAAAATGGTATTGGCTCAGCATTTTACCACATAATAAATCATCCACAAATTGATTTTATAGTACAACAAGACTTACGAGTTGTGTCTGCTAGCATTGTGTTTGCCGTCTCAACAAGTGCATGTACCCCCCTTGAAAAGCATTTCATATATTGCATCATGTCCACACGTTCTGGTTGCTACCAGATTAATCATACCCGTCAACTTTTTCACTCTATTCCCAATGCTCATTCTTCTGTATTTTCTGGCTGGTATAAGTCAAATTTATACCTTCCCTTGCATGACGCGTCCAACGTCCGAGGTTGTAGTCCTTGTGGATTTGTCGAAGGTGACATGTTGGCCAATTCGACCCAAAGTGGTCCATTGTTTTCAAAATATGCTTGCACAACCACCCCCACGTTTCCAAGTGGTGGCAGCTGCATCTAAACTTGCAAGATTCCTTCTCGACTAGGACTATCCTCTCATCGATTCTAGTTCCATCATCTTCTTCCTTGAATAGGTCATACACAGCCCACCCATCCTCATCCTTCTCTGGATTAGCATCAAGCAATATGGAAAACTTTCTCCGATCTCATTCTGGAATAACTTAAGCACGTTATATGTATACAAATGTTGCACCTGTTTAGTGCAATGGCACTTAGAATAACTAACAGGTGGCGCCTCATCCACCAGTTTGAAGTCATTCTGTAGTTCTGCTTCCCTTTTATCTTCAACCAGTCGATCGAATTGAACAAAAAACTGGGATAGATTATGGTCGGCTTTCAGGTAGTGTCGGAGGCTACTATTGCAGGCTTCACTTAGCTGGGAACTCCTCATCCCACAGGTTCTATGCTCTCGAAGCCAAACTCTCGACCATTTGTGTCTGCACATTAATGCAACCGTAGTTATAATTAAGACTACCATTACATGCACATTAAAAAACCATTTCGTTACATAACCATTACCAATGCGCATACTAACTGATACACTACCAAATAAACACCAACTAGCTTGACTATACCTCAATTTATAAATATTTGCAAGCCATGGGTGACCCTCTGGACCTTTTTCCAGGAAAAAATTATCAATCATTCTCTTCCACACATGCTCAAATTCCTCCTCGGTCTCCACATTGAACATTACTATGTTCACCTCCGCTTTCAGGCCCGACTTGTACACAGATGGTCCCATATTTGTCAATCCATTCTGGTGGATATGAAATGTGCAGAGTCCATGAAACGACGAACGGAACTGGTCCCGGATTCCACAAGCTATAGCTTTTGCCTGATTAGTGAAGATGGATTTCGGGTGTTTGTTTGCCATGCATGTCAGAAAGGTTTTGAACAACCACGAGAATGTCTCCGTTGTTTCATCGTATAGAAGTGCACCCCCGAAAATACACAGCTCCCTATGGTTGTTAAAGCCAACAAACAATGCTACACACACAAATTCAAATGACAGTGGTCATACAATTATTTACGAACATGAAGGTACCTAGAAACATGGCAAGGCTTACCAAAAGGCCTATAGTTTAGGTTGGTTCTGTAGGTAGTGTCAAAGCTGATCGCATCTCCAAAACACTCGTAATCCAAACGCATCTTCCCATCCGCAAAAAATATATCTGCAATCTCGTCGTTAATATTTACCTGCATATCAAAAAAATATAATGGGTCCCTCCTTGCTCTCTTCATGAAATAGCGATGCAGCATGGTTGCCTCCCCGGGCTCCATGCTTCCGGTCCTCTCTTTCTGTATGTAGTTTTTCAGGTCTGTTTGTAGAAATCCAAGATTCTCCTTCCCCCCAGCTGCCGCGGCAAATGAAGCATAGCTGCTTCGCACAGAAATACTGGCATCATCATTGAGTTTTGCATAATATTCAAACTCCTCACTAACGTCCCTCATCGTACAGATAAACCATTTTGTTCTCTTAGTGTGGAGTTCGTGATTGTGGACGTCCTTCCATTGATATATCTCATATTTACCGCTACTAGGTTCGTAACGGCACCTAGCCAAAGCTTTACATCCAAACCGAGTCTCGCCCCTCTTCCTCTTCTTATTAGGTTCTGTGTCTACCACAACATCGACATTCTTTGGATCCAGCGTGCTCCCTGTTTTGAACCCTTCTTTGTTGCACCATGCTCCAAAGTAAAACACCTTCCGTTCCTTAAGATATTTGGGTTTTCGAGTCTGTGCTCCAATACGTCTTACTCCAAAACCCCTCCAGTGTGCGAAGTCTTTCTAGAACTTGACAAATGCTTCCCTATTTTCAAATCTCAAATGCTTCCATGTCGATTTGTCGGCCGGGACAACTTTATACACCTGATCTTCAATTTGTAAAACAACAAATAATCACTACCATTCCAATAAGTCATACTACAACTAACATAGCACTAGCATTTGTTGCAAATATGCCAAAAAATCACTACCATTGTAGTAGCTAATACAAAAGTAAGAACCAATACCAATCCAATCAAACAAATACCAATGCGATACGAACTACCAATAACAATCCAACATATACCAATGTAAGGACTACCATTATTCCTAAACAAGTACGTAACAATACCAATCCGAAACATGTATGCAGAAAACTACCACTGCATGAAAGGGAACTACCATTCAAAAAGGCAAAACTACCATTCCAGCAAAACACTACCATTCCACATCAACAAAAGCACGGTTTCAGAACTACCATTCACATGTATGCAGAAATATGTACGTAACAAACAAATCAGCAACATGAACGTGGAAAACTTCACCTTCGTCAGAATTGTCACAAGCAGCCCCTACAAAGCCTTTTTCCACAGTTTGATCTTCGACGATACCTGACCCTTTGCAAGGATTTCCGACCAAAAGGGATGTTAAGTTTTTGCCGTTCAAGCCAAAGCATACAATCATGAATGGGTTAGATTATTACCGTCGTCGCTTTGGATCGCCATATCCTCTTCCTCGCCACCAGAAATAGGACTTTCTCCGAATACACTTCCATTGCTAGCCTTCTACACTCTACCACATCCGGCGATGATGCGACGTCGGCGGTCGCCATTTTCTCCCTTCATATAACGTGTACACGGCAGAAATAGGGCCGGCAAAAAATCGTGGACTTCAAAAAGCCCTACGCTGATTAAACTACCTAATAATTAGTTACCGTAATTATCTCTCCCTAATTAATTGCGTAACTAAAATGGCAGTTTGAAATAGGATGGAAGCAAAATACCCTTCTTATCCCTAGTAACTACCGTGGTTACTAACACTAAGTATCCACCATAACCTGTTCCGCGGTCCGAAGCCATGATTCTTACCATGTAATTTTTTTTTTCATTTACAGTAATCATAATTAAATGGAATTACACTTTGTTTTTAGATGGTAAAATTTTGTTTCCCGTAATTCGATTGATTGCAATCAAAAGAGGGGGGGAAATGATTAAACAATTATATAAAGAAACGGAGAACGGGCGGCAACTAGGATTAAGGAAGTTATAAGATAAAAAAATAAATATACATATATATAAAATTAATTTTTAGTAATTTAAATATTACTAACATTAGTATAGCAACTTTTCGCAATTATATATTAAGTGAATGATTCGAGTTTATTCTATTTTTTCTTATCCATATCTTGGCTTAGATTGGTTCAACTATTGACAAACCCTAATTGAGTTCAAGCGAATACTGTTTGGTTAAAACCAAACCCTAATCTCATTAAATCCTAATTTGATGGATTTAGCATGATATAAATATTTAATTACTAGAGCCATCCACCTAACAAATTGTTGAAACCCTCATTGAGATACTAAATGTGGATACGAACATGGTGGAATCGACCGTTTCTCGATTGGACATCCCATGCAAAAAATGATGAATAGTGCCAAAATTTCCATCAATATAATTGGGGGCTCTGGGCATCATGAAGGGAAGTTTCTTGAGCCTACCACTCGTATTTTAATAATGTGAACAATTGTTGTTAGTGGATTGCAAAGATGACTTATCTTCTAAGAGATTGTCGTAATAGCATTGCATGGGTCGAGGTTGAAGGTTGCTATTTGAAAGGAATGAAAGTTTAGGGTTTAAGAGGAGTATAAGGTGTAAGAGGCGGAAGATTTGCTTTCCTTTTTCGAAACTTGCAGGTTGTGACAATAAATCTAGTTTACAAAATGTAAAACGTTTAATTACTAGAATGAATCGACCAAATCATTTCATTATCTGACAATGTCGCCGTTGTATAATATTTCTTACAGTTTATAATTAATTGACCATATGTTTATACTATTTTGATAGTTATAATTATTTATAACAAACCCACGATAAATTATTTTTACGAAAAAAAACTAGTCAAAGATAAATTGTGGATACAAACATATACCTAATTAACAACATAAAAATTTCTTTTATTGACTCCTCCCCATTAAGACGTCTAATTACTTTTTTCGGTAATTTTTTAATTAATTAACAACATAACAAATTTTCTTGATTAAAACATTATCTTTATTCAAAAAATTCCCTTCATTATCAACGTCTAATTAACAACCGAGACAAATTTCCTTAATTACACACGTTTAATAGAATTTATTAATTATTAAATTATTTATTACAGTAATTTAATTCAACTTTGCAGTTACCAAATTATTAAATTAATTAATTAATTTAGTCACCGACGATTGTCCGAAGCCGGATTTCGGATTATCAACGTCTAATTAACAACCAAGACAAATTTCCTTAATTACACACATTTAATAGAATTTATTAATTATTAAATTATTTATTAGAGTAATCTAATTCAACTTTGCAGTTACCAAATTATTAAATTAATTAATTAATTTAGTCAACGACGATTGTCCGAAGCCGGATTTCGAACGCGAGCTACCTGTACGAAGGCGGAATTCGGACGCGGATGACCTTTCCGAAGCCTGATTTCTGACGCAATCGACCTGTCTAAAGCCGAATTTCGGCACGCGCGTGTCCGTTCTAACTTCAAAGTTTGACCACACGTCTCCTTCCGAACGTCGGTGTCGTACCGATGTTGCCGACCGAACTCCGAGGTCGACTGCGAATCAATCGCGCTTTCCCAAGGCGAATCCCTCGCCGCAGAAGAAAAAGGAGGATGGCGATTCGCCGCTGGGATTTGCGAGATTCGTTGGAGAGAAAATTGCGAGACCATATTTTTTGCATAAGACGGCAGGAGGGGTTTGGTGAGACCCGCCGACGAGTGTCTATCTTCAGGGCGGTGCCAGCAAAACTCGACTAGCAGTTCCAGTCTACAACGGCGGAGAGGATGTGACTGGTTCAACTTTGGTTTCTAAAAGTTAAAGGGCAAATCAAACATTTTTCAAAATTATGGACGGAGAATAGTAAATATGCTGGCGCTAAATAGCTATTCAGGTATATAAAGGTGCACATTGTATTTTGTACTTACGGATATAGAACTTTTCTATCTATATATGTCTATATTGTACTGATTTGATTGACAGTTTTATGGGCCGATAACGGATATGATGTCCCCAAACCTAAATCCCTCGTTCTGAGACGAGGAAACTTACTGCACAACCATAAGCATCCCGACTGTACATAGGCGATGGGTCGTGCTTGGGTCGGCACGGCACGCTTCTGGCCCGTTTATTTCGTGTTGTGCTCGACACGGCCGGTAGTTTTTCGTGTCGTGTCGTGTAAGCTAATTTGTTAATTTTGCTAGGCTCGGGCACGGTTTGAATTGTGTCGTGCTTATTTGTGTTCGTGTTGTGCTTATATTTGTGTTTAATGAAAAGGAAGAAAATAAAAGAGGAAATGAAAAAGAAGAAACAAATTGGATGGAGAATGAGAGTATTAATCGAGTATGTAAGAAATGTAACAAATAAGGGGGAAAAGAAAATTGAAAGAATAACGGGTGTGATTTGACTTTGTTTAATACTTCGTCTATTTTTACTTATGGTAGTAATTACGTGTGTATATATATATATATATGGCGAGTTCTACAGTACCCTGGGTAAAATCCGGGGTAACGCTTACCTTGAGTATGAAAACACTATCTAGACCTTGAATTGACCGATCTTTCGGACATGATACTATACTCTAACCCTTAAAGATCAAAATTTAGGTCATAATTCTCCCAATTTTATAATCCAAGATCAATTTGATTAGAAACAATAATCGACGGTTATGATTCGTCCAAATATAGGCACAAAGAGGAAAGCATCATCATAGGGTTTATAGATTATGATTTAGATAATTAGGACCTAGGGTTCACTCATTAAGGGTTAGGGTATAGTATCAGACCCAAAAATCCTGCTAATTCGAGGTCTAGATACCGTTTCCATAGTCAAGGTATGCGGTACCCCGGATTTCACCCGGGGTACCGTAGAAGGCACCATATATATATATATATAGTGGCTACTTCGGTGCACTCACTTCTAAAAGTGTCCATAATACATCAAATTTTGAACTTTAATTAGTACTCTCAATATAATATGATGATATGACACATAGAATCATAACAAATCAATCCATTACCCTAACCCCTTAACATTCAATTTTGAATCCCAACCCAAAATCCCAAATTGTAAACCTAAACCCTAACCCTAAATCCCTAAATCCTAAATCCTTCGAATTAAAGTAAATTTTGAATGAATTTTTTTCAAATTCATGTGCTTCTAGTACATAATATCATAAGCAACAATTGATACCGTTTCGACATGAATCGCATGGTCATAATGACAATTATGAGGCGGGTGCACTGAGTGCACCCGAAAATATATATATATGTGGTGCCGTATTCGGTGCACTCACTTTTTTTGGTGCATTCAGTGCACTCGCTTCATAATCGTCATTTTAAACATGAGATTTATGTCAAAATGATGTTAATCATCACTTATGATGTGATGAACAATAACGCACATGAATTTGCACAAAAACTATGAAAGATTTGCTTTAATTTAAAGGATTTAGAGTTAAAGATCTAGGGTTAGGGTTTACAGTTTGGGGTTTACGGATAGAACTCAAAATTGGAGGTCTAGGGCTTAGGGTAATCCGCTAATTAGTTGTTATCATATGTTATATCATCATATTATACTAATTCATATATATATATATATATATATATATTTATGATAACTTCTAATTTAGTCAAAAGTGAGTTTCTACGTAGAAACATTTTGGTGATCTAGAAGCGTAAAATCGTAAGTTTTTAAGTTTTCAAGCAGAGTTTTTAACTACATAAGTTATAAAAAATGAGATTTCGTGTAGAAGCGTTTTAGTTACCTGAAAACTTAAAATTGTAAGATTTTAAGTTTCAAGCGCGATTTTAACTACATTGTCTAACAACAATAAATAATTTTTATTGTACTTGTATTTTTTAAGTTTGGACCTATAATTCTTTTTATATTTATTTTTTATCAAATAAATATTCTTTTCATGTCATGTTCGTTCTTATTTATTTTCGATCAAATAAATATTCTTTTCATGCTAAGTGGAAAGTGAAAGGACCATTTTATTAAATCCGCCAAATATTAGTGACCCTTTAGGCTCTTAACGATTGCTATTGCAGCTTGCCGCGCTGAGTCCATGACCACAACAAAATGAATTGAAACAATCTCTCCCCTTTCTTTTGATATTTCTGAAACAATCGCCCGAAAGGGAAGGATGACGCTGTACATCCCTTTGTTCAGAGCAAGTACGAACTTGAGACTGCTTACTCAACTTCACTCCCACCTCTTCATCACCGGCATGCACCATGATCCGCAAGCTTCCACCAAGCTCATCGAGTCATATTCTCAACTGGGTTCCCTTCATTCCTCGAGCCTCGTGTTCAGGACCTTCCAAAGTCCCGATTCCTTCATGTGGGGCGTGCTTATCAAGTGCCATATCTGGTCGCAACATTTCGCGGACGCCATTTCTCTTTATCATGAGATGCTCTGCTCCGGAATCTCCAATGGCCCATTCATACTCCCTTCAGTTTTGACAGCCTGTGCTGGTTTTGGCGACCTGGGTATCGGTGACAAGGTTCATGGAAGTATAATCAAGTTTGGGTTTGATACTGATCCCGTTGTACAGACCTCGCTCCTGGCTTTTTATGGCAAGTTAGGTTGCCTGAGGGATGCAAGGAAGGTGTTCGACAATATGCCTCTGAAAGACTTGGTTTCTTGGAGCTGCATTATTTCAAGCCATGTTGATAATGGGCACCCCGCTGAAGGCTTAGAGATGTTTAAACTACTTTCATCTCGTGGCATGGAAGTTGATGCAGTGATGATGCTCACCGTTGCCCAGGCATGCGGGCAACTTGGTAGTCTGAAACTAGCTAGATCTGTTCATGGTCACGTAGTAAGAAGGAGAGTACAGGCTTCTGGGTCATTAGGCGATTGTCTTGTTCTAATGTACAGCAAGTGTGGAGATATGTTCAGTGCAGAGAGTATCTTCAGAAGTAAAGCTAATAACAGCATAATATCAAGGACAGCATTGATTCATTGCTACAATCATTGGGGTGGGTTTGAACAAGCTGTTGAAATCTTCCTTGAGACGATGAGGGACAAAATGGAGCCTAATGTAGTTACCATGATGGGAGTTTTGAATTCCTGTGGTGGATTACATTTACTTAGAGAAGGGAAATCAGTTCACTGTTATGCAATCAAGAACAGTTTGAACTTTGAGGAGGAAAACAGTTTAGGACCAGCATTAGTAGGGTTTTACTCCGAATGCAATCAATTAACTTACAGTAGGAGAGTCCTTCATGGGTTTGGATGGAGGAACTTAATTTCATGGAATGTGCTTATATCAGCTTATGTTCAACAAGGATTCTCAAATGAAGCATTTGAGCTGATGATGCAGATGCAGAGGCAGGGAGGATTAATGCCAGACTCTTTCAGCTTGTCGAGCTCTCTATCAGCTTGTGCCGACTCCGGGAATTTGCAGCTCGGATGTCAGATGCATGGTTACTGCATCAAAAGACAATTGTCTGATGAGTTTATCCAAAATGCACTCGTCAACATGTACTCAAAATGCGGTTCTATGGATTCAGCATTTCTCATATTCGATGCTGTCCAAGAAAAGAGCGTTATTACTTGGAATTCTATGATCACTGGATTCTCCCAGAATGGCAACTCGGTTGAGGCGATACGCCTCTTTGATCAGATGTATAGGAACTGTCTTGAGATGAATGAGGTCACCTTCTTAACTGCAATCCAGGCTTGCTCCAACATGGGACACCTTGACAAAGGGAAATGGCTTCACCAGAAACTCATCAGCTATGGGGTAGAGAAGGACCTTTACCTTGAGACTGCTCTAGCTGACATGTATGCAAAATGTGGAGACCTTCGAACAGCACAAAGAGTATTTAACGAAATGCCAGAGAAAAGTGTGGTAACATGGAGCATTATGATTGCTGGATATGGAATCCATGGCCATATGGATGCTGCAATGTCTCTCTTCGCTCGAATGGTAGAGATGGGAATAAGGCCAAATGGTGTCACCTTCATGAACATTCTATCTGCTTGCAGTCATTCTGGACATGTGGATGCGGGGAAGTTTTATTTCAGATTGATGGAAAATTACAGCATAGAACCCAATTTAGAGCATTTCGCTTGTCTGGTTGACCTCCTGAGTCGAGCTGGTGATGTCGATGGAGCTTATGGAGTTATCAACTCCATGCCATTCCCTGCAGATGCAAGTACCTGGGGCGCTTTAGTTAACGGCTGCAGGATTCATCATAGGATGGACATGATTCAGTTCATTCAAAGGGACCTTCTGGATGTGACTACAGATGACACGGGATATTATACTTTGCTATCTAATATTTATGCAGAGGAAGGGAAATGGGTGGAGTTTGGGACGGTGAGGTCGAAGATGGAAAGAACAGGTCTGAAGAAGGTACCTGGTTACAGCACGATTGAACTTGGCAACAAAATATACAGATTCGGAGCAGGCGACACGTATCATTGGCGATTTAACGAGGTCTGCAGCTTCTTAGAGAACTTCCCGATCTTGGCACGGCCTCAACAAGGATGCGGTGTGTTTTCAAATCCTTCAAATGAATCTTGTATATTTCCTGAATACCATGAATGATAGTAAATTGCTAGAAATTGGATATGGAACAATGCGAGGTCGCTTAAGAACAGGACATGGGTAATTGAATGGACATTGCAACATTGTTGAAAAAAGAAATGCTAAGTATAC